CGGCGAGGGGCAGCCTCGGCACAGCGATGGCCGGGTGGGACCGCCCATGCACGGAGTGCAAGGACGCGACGAGCAGCAGAGCCGTCGCGACGCACATGAGCGCCCCTCGTCTAGCGGCTCTGCTGCCGGTCAGCTCAACGCTAAGCAGCTCAGCAGCCACATCTCAAATGCTGGCAGCGCTGACGCATTGCTCGCGCTCTTTTCTGCCCACAGCGCGAACTTGAACCACATCCACGCTGCGAACCTGTGGAACAAACTGGGCAAGCAGCGCATCGAGCGGTGGCACGAGGAGCGGCTTGAGCAGCTGGTGCAGCGCACGCTTGACCTCGTCGCGTCATGCGAAGCACGCAATCTGGCGAACATCGCCCACGGCGTGGCAAAGTGCGGCCTGCAAGTAGGGGTTGTGCGTTCGCTGTACACGGCGGTGGCGGAGGCGGCGGTGCGCGGGGGGCTGGCTGGCTTCGACCCTCAGGCCCTAGCCAACACGGTGTGGGCGTATGCGACGGCGGGCGTGGCTGCAGACGCGCTGTACGAGGCGGTGGCGGAGGCGGCGGTGCGCAGCGGGCTGGCTGGCTTCAACGCTCAGGCACTAGCCAACACGGTGTGGGCGTATGCGAAGGCGGGCGTGGCTACGGACGCGCTGTACGCGGCGGTGGCGGAGGCGGCGGTGCGCAGCGGGCTGGCTGGCTTCAAGCCTCAGGAGCTGGCCAACACGGTGTGGGCGTATGCGACGGCGGGCGTGGCTGCGGACGCGCTGTACGCGGCGGTGGCGGAGGTGGCGGTGCGCGGCGGGCTGGCTGGCTTCATGCCTCAGAACGTGGTCAACACGGTGTGGGCGTATGCGACGGCGGGCGTGGCTGCGGACGCGCTGTACGCGGCGGTGGCGGAGGCGGCGGTGCGGAGCGGGCTGGATCGCTTCAAGCCGCAGGAGCTGGCCAACACGGTCTGGGCGTATGCGACGGCGGGCGTGGCTGCGGACGCGCTGTACGCGGCGGTGGCGGAGGTGGCGGTGCGCGGCGGGCTGGCTGGCTTCATGCCTCAGAACGTGGTCAACACGGTGTGGGCGTATGCGACGGCGGGCGTGGCTGCGGACGCGCTGTACGCGGCGGTGGCGGAGGTGGCGGTGCGCGGCGGGCTGGCTGGCTTCAAGCCTCAGGACCTGGCCAACACGGTGTGGGCGTATGCGACGGCGGGCGTGGCTGCAGACGCGCTGTACGCGGCGGTGGCGGAGGCGGCGGTGCGCGGCGGGCTGGCTGGCTTCAAGCCTCAGAACCTGGCCAACACGATGTGGGCGTATGCGACGGCGGGCGTGGCTACGGACGCGCTGTACGCGGCGGTGGCGGAGGTGGCGGTGCGCGGCGGGCTGGCCGGCTTTACGCCTCAGAACCTGGCGAGCACAGTGTGGGCGTATGCGACGGCGGGCCATTACCACCAGGCATTGCTTGCCGAGTGCTCGCGCGTGATCAGCGACTCGCTCGCGCGGGATCCGTCGAGGTGGAGCGAGGAGGACCGCCGTCAGCTGCACCAGTGGCAGCTCTGGCTCTCCCTTGAGCGAGGAGCAGACGGGCAGCAGCACCTCCTCTCCGATTCACAGCGCCAGCTCTGTCGCGACGCCATGCAACACACGCAAGTGACGATATCGCGCTTGCAGCGCTCGGTTGCAGCTGCCCTCGCCTCCGTCCAGTCTGGCTTCGAGGAGGAGTATCTCGAGCCGCGCACCGGCTACTCGCTCGACCTGGCGCTGCCCTCGTCACGCGTCGCGGTCGAGGTGGATGGCCCCTCTCACTTCCTGCTGCCCGACGGCCGGGGCGTACGCAAACCCAATGGGCCAACGCTGCTCAAGCGGCGCCTCCTCACGGCGGCTGGCTGGAGGGTGATCAGCGTTCCATTCTACGAGTGGAACGGCTTTGCGACAGCCAATGGGCAGCAGACCTATCTGGAGAGGGCGGTCGCCCCGCTCTTGGGCTAGTACTGTGCACACTGGCTCCCGTAGGGCGGCTCCCGTGGTGTGCCTGTGTTAGTCGAGGTCCTCCGTGTTCCTTTTACCCATGTGTTAAATCCTTTTACCCGTGGTGTACCTTTATCCCCGTCCGCTCGTGCCTGCGAGCTGTGACCTGTGTCAGTGGCGCGGCTGGGTGCAGCGGCCGCGACAAGATGATGAGCCCCGGCGGCGCGGCACTCGAGGGGTGCCCTCTGCAGTGCAGTGCGCTTCAGAACGCGCAGGAGGGTAGAATCCTCCTCGAACTTTTTCCAAAAGCGGCGGTCCGCGTCGGCCGTGCCGCCGAGCTGGTCGCCGGCTCGGCGAGACATGCTATGCACGCCCGCGCGCGTGGCGGTTGGTGTTGGGTCTGTTAGGTCCGCGACGAGCTCCGCTGACAGCACCAGTTCCTTCACCTCCTCCCACCGCCGCAGCCACCGCCCGCCGCCCAGAGCCCACAGGAAACGGTAAGCGCCGAGCCATTGAGGGCGTACCAACTTGCTCACCCAGCCTATCACTATATCCAAACCCGCCCCGCCTCCCGATTTCGCTGTGCCGTCTTTCCGAGCCGAGCCGTCCTCCGCCACGCCTCGTCAATCCATCCGCCGATATCGCCGACCCGCACCTTATCAATCAACCCATCAATCACCCTATGCCAAGCCTAGATAATGCATACGAAGGACGACCAAACGACTGGGACACTAACGCGATGGGTGTGAGTGTGTTCTCGAGGTTCTCGAGGTGGATATCCTTTGGCCGCGTTGGGTAGCGAGGATTGGTGTGACGCGATCCACGCAGGCGTGGTTTCTGGCGGCCGACCGTCAGTGTGTGTACTCTGCTGGAGGAATGGTTGGGCAGGTTACTTCAGCTTGTGCGGCGCTCGCGCCGCGCAGGCTGGCCCATCGAGGGCACTCTCTGGCGCTGTCCGGGCCAAGCGCGGCGCCGCGCATGCCGCGTGCCACTCGCCGTGGCTCGCGGTGCAGCGCCACTGCAGCCTCGAAAACGTCGCGCACAGCACCAGCATGCTGCCCACCAGGCAGCAGAGTGCTGCACCGGCGTGCAGCGGACGCTGCGGCGCCGCGGCGTCGCCTCCCCGCCCTGTCCACGGAGCAGACGAGCGGCGGCACGGCCTTCCACCAGCTGCAGGAAGTGCGCACTTCCCAAAGGAAGCACAGGATGCTCCCGCAGTTTACGCAGCTTTGTGCAGCGCAGCGCACGGGCCACGCCACACAAAGCCGACCCTCAGTCTGGCCAAGAGGCCGTCTGCGGAAGGCCTGGCAGCGCGTACTCGCCTCCTCCGCGGCCATGCCCTCCGCCCGGGCGAGCGAGGAGCGGGGACACAACCATTTCTGGAATCGTGTGCCCCCGAAGCCAGATTTCTTTTCTTCTTTTGCTCTGGGCACGAGGCGAAGTCAATTCGGCGATGGTCTCCGCTGCTCGAAAGCGCCACCGAGAGAAGGAGAAGCACGCTGCGGCGGCCGCCGACCCTCCTGCGACCTCGACGGACGAGCGGACCAAGCATCGGATAAAGAAGGACCTGAAGCGCAAGGAGAAGCGCAGAGCCGCGGCCGAGCAGAAGCGCCAAGAGGCGGCCTCCGTGGCTCCAAGCGGCAAGGCGGCGCCCTCCGCCGCTGTCAGCGCACCAGCGCACCGCGTCTTTGTCGGCCGGCTCGCGCAGTCGACCACCGAAGACGAGCTTGAGCGCCACTTTGCGGCGTGCGGGCCGGTGACGTGCGTGGACATGCTTCGGCGGAGGGAGACGAACCGCTTCAAGGGCGCCGCCTTCGTGGTGTTTGAGACGGCCGGCGCCGTCGACGCCGCGCTGCTCCTCGACGGCAGCGACGTGGGCGGCGAGGCCGCTAGATGGACAGGTAGGGCGGTGCGCCACGTGTGGCCACAATGGACAGCGGAACCAGACCTGACTCTGGGACCTGCTAGAGGGCGCTAGCGATGGGGAGTCGGCCACACTGGCGGGAGACGCACATACACACACACACACACACACACACACACACACACACACACACACACACACACACACACACACACACACACACAACTCTCTCTCTCTCTCTCTCTCTCTCTCTCTCTCTCTCTCTCTCTCTCTCTCTCTCTCTCTCTCCCTCTCCCTCTCCCTCTCCCTCCCCCCCCCCCTCTCTTCACACCGCTGGCTGTGAACAGGCAAGCCGGCCGCTGTGCAGCGAGCCGGCGAGGGGCGCACCGCAGGAGGAGCTGGCGGCAAGGCGACGGGGCCGCGGGCTGAGAAGTCTGGCGTGACACGTGATGGGGTGGGTGCCGGCACGGCCACGGCGAGCAGCGGCGGTGGGGAGGGCGGGCAGTCTGTGTTTGTCTCGAACCTGCCTCACGACGCAAACGAGGCGCAGGTGCGCAAGCTCTTCGGCGGCGACGGAGGACTCATCCAGCGGGTCAAGCTGCTCCCGGCCGCCGGCGGCGAGACGAGGGGGTTCGTCGACTTCCGGACCGCCGAGGCGGCGGCCGCGGCCATCCAGCTGCACGACGGCGGCGACCACTGTGGGCGACGCATTGCCGTCGCCGCGTCGCGTCGAGGCGGCGTGGCTAAGAAGAGCGACCGCCGCAGCGCAGGGGCACGGGCGAGGCGGAAGGAGGCGCGCGAGGCGTCGCGGGAGCCGCGGTAGCGCGGTAGCTCACCCCCCGCCCGAACAAGGATCGCGGAGATTCGCACTAACCACTAAGCCGTAGGGCCCGGAGAAACCCGAGGCCGGGTAAGGCTGCCCCCGCCCCCGCCCCCCCACCCCTCTCCCCCGGAGGTGTGCGGCGCCACCACCGTCCAGAGTCTCCAGACCGGGCAGGGGGCAGCCTCCCCCTTTGTTCTTTTTTTGTAGTAGTATATAGGCAACCTTAATTCCAAGAAGCAAGATTCGTGACCCCGCTATCCGCGCGCGCGCCCACGCGCCCCCCAGCCCGTCTGCCCGTCGTGCAGCCTGCCAGTCACCATGCCGCAGCGCGTGCTGTCCCCCTCACCCACACTCTTCAGAGGCCGTCAAGCGTCATCAGACGGCGTCGTCGCGACCTCGCGACCCCGCGGCGCTGCCTTGGCCTCCCCCACCGATACCGACGCCACCTCCTCCGCCACCTCCTCCGCCACATCCTCCGCCACATCCTCCTCCGCCGCATCCTCCACCTCCTCCACCTGCGAAATAGCCACGACCTCGGCCTCCGCTTCAGCCGCCGCCGCCTCCGTCGCCTCGGCTGACACCGCTGCCGTCGCTGCCTCCGCCGCCTCCTCTGCCGCCTCCGCCGCCGCCTCCTCCGCTGCCGCCTCCTCCTCCGCCGCCGCCGCGGCCGCTTCTGCTGCCACCTCCGCGTCCGCGTCCGCGTCCGCCGCCTCCGCGTCCGCCGCCACCTCGGCCGCCGCCGCTACCTCCGCCGCCGCCGCCGCCGCCTCCGCCTCCGCCTCCGCCGCCGCGACCGCCTCCGCCGCCTCCGCCGCCTCCGCCGCCGCCGCGACCGCCGCCTCAAAGTGGCGGTCAACTTCGTCGACGAGCCGATCCACGTCCGCCACGAGCGCGTCTCGCACCTGCCGAGATCTCCCGAGATCTCGCCGAGATCTCGCCGAGATCTCGCCGAAATCAGCCGCGATCTTGCCGAGAGAGTCGCCCGAGATCTCGCCGAGATCAGCCGAGATCAGCCGAGATCTCGCCGAGATCAGCCGAGATCTCGCCGAGACACGCCCGACTCTCTACACGGGCGCGGCCACGCACCGCCGCGCCCGCGCCGAGGCCGAACGGGTCTGGCAGCGGCAGCAGCGCCGAGGTGGGCGCGTCCGGGTCGATGGCGAGGGGAGTCACGTGCGAGCCTGTTCACACGAGCAGGTGTGAAGAGACGCCGGTCACAGCGGTGCGAGGGGAGTCACGTGCGAGCCTGTTCACACGACCAGGTGTGAAGAGACGCCGGTCACAGCGGTGCGAGGGGAGTCACGTGCGAGCCTGTTCACACGACCAGGTGTGAAGAGACGCCGGTCACAGCGGTGCGAGGGGAGTCACGTGCGAGCCTGTTCACACGACCAGGTGTGAAGAGACGCCGGTCACAGCGGTGCGAGGGGAGTCACGTGCGAGCCTGTTCACACGACCAGGTGTGAAGAGACGCCGGTCACAGCGGTGCGAGGGGAGTCACGTGCGAGCCTGTTCACACGACCAGGTGTGAAGAGACGCCGGTCACAGCGGTGCGAGGGGAGTCACGTGCGAGCCTGTTCACACGACCAGCTGTGAAGAGACGCCGGTCACAGTGGTGCGAGGGGAGTCACGTGCGAGCCTGTTCACACGACCAGGTGTGAAGAGACGCCGGTCACAGCGGTGCGAGGGGAGTCACGTGCGAGCCTGTTCACACGACCAGCTGTGAAGAGACGCCGGTCACAGCGGTGCGAGGGGAGTCACGGTTGCGAGCCTATGGTAAGGGAAGGGAAGGGAAGGGAAGGTAAACTTCTCCACGCGCACGAGGTGGTGGGGCAAGGGCCAGGCTAGTCCCTCGCGACTCCACGTCTAGACGACAGGAGCCGCACGGCATTGAAAGTGCAAGGCGCGGTGCGCGTGGGCGAGCGGTGTGTATGTGTGTGTGTGTGTGTGTGTGTGTGTGTGTGTGTGTGTGTGTGTGTGTGTGTGTGTGTGTGTGTGTGTGTGTGTGTGTGTGTGTGTGTGTGTGTGTGTGTGTGTGTGTGTGTGTGTGCATGTGTGCGTGTGTGTGGGCGTGTGGGCGTGTGTGCATGTGTATGTGTATGTGTGCGTGTGCGTGTGTGTGTGTGTGTGTGTGTGTGTGTGTGTGTGTGCGGAGATTTTGCTCGCAGAATGGTGACTATCGTTGCAACCGTCGCGAGCGTGCGTGCCTCCGATGCGCAGCGGCGACGCGGCGGCGGCGGGCGGCAGCGCGGCGGCGAGGTCGGGGGACTCGTCGAGGCTGTCCACCTCAAACTGCACTACCAGCGGCGCCCGCGGGGGATACCGCTCGCGAATCAGCGACCGGACCTCAGCCGGCGTGGGCGTAAACTCGCCTAGGGGCGGCGGCGGTCGAGGGGAGATCTAGGGGAGATACGGGGGAGGCACGGGGCAGACACGGGGGAGATATGGGCGAGGTATGGGCGAGATATGGGCGTAAACTCGCCTAGGGGCAGAAACCTGCTGCAGCCATGAGCGGTGCAGTGCGGACGGCGGGCTAGAGATTGGCGCGAGAGGCACGGGGGCGAGCCCCGAGTGTGTGAGGGGGCAGCGCAGTGGGGCGTCGCCGCTAGCCTCGCCGTGGGACTCGGCGTCGCCTGTCTGACTAGTCGATCTCTGTCTGCCTGCCCGCTCTCGGCCGTCCGTGCGTGCCATCTTTGGCCCGGGGTTGTGTTTGTGCGGGGGCAGGGCAGCAGGGCAGCGGGGCGGCGGAGGGAGGGAGCGGGACTCGACAAGCTCCTTGAGGATTGGCCCGGCAAGCTCCTTGAGGATTGTGCCGGAGTTGCGTTGTTGTGTGCACTCACTCTAGCATGAGCCGGCCTGCCTCATGGCCGGCCTCACTCTCCCACCCCCCTGCGCGCGGGGGCCTTCTAGGCCCGGCGGGTTGAATCTCCCCTCATCCCTGAAGCCTCCAGGGCTCGCACCGCGACCTCTCATGTGTGCTGTGAATACGTCCCGAACCGATACTGTGACCTGGTAGCATATGCACCAGCGCGCAACGCCGGTACGGCGTCTTTCATTCTCACTCTCTGTCGACTCGCCTGTGCCGCGAGAGACTGCGGCCAGCACTTCCGGCACCTGCTCGCGCAAACCTCGCGGTAAATCTCGGCTGCCTCTCGGCTGCACCTCGGCTGCCCCTCGGCTGCCTCTCGGCTGCCTCTCGGCTGCCTCTCGGCTACTCTCTCGGCTGCCTCCTCGGCTGCCCCTCGGCTGCCTCTCGGCTGCCTCTCGGCTGCCTCTCGGCCGCCTCTCGGCTGCCTCTCGGCTGCCTCTCGGCTGCCTCTCGGCTGCCTCTCGGCTGCCTCTCGGCTGAATCTCGGCTGAATCTCGGCTGAATCTCGGCTGAATCTCGGCTGAATCTCGGCTGAATCTCGGCTGAATCTCGGCTGAATCTCGGCTGAATCTCGGCTGAATCTCGGCTGAATCTCGGCTGAATCTCGGCTGAATCTCGGCTGCATCTCGGCTGAATCTCGGCTGAATCTCGGCTGAATCTCGGCTGAATCTCGGCTGCATCTCCGCCACCTGGTCCGCCAGCGCCGCAACCTCCTCCGCGTCGCTCAGAGCAACGGCAAGCGCCTAAAGTAAAGTAAGGTAAGGTAGACTTCTCCACACACACATGAGGCGACGGGGCAAGGGCCGGGCAACCCTCGCATCTCCACGTCTAACGACAGGAGCCGCACGGCATTGAAAGTGCAAGGCCCGGTGCGCGTGGGTGAGCGGTGTGTGTGTGTGTGTGTGTGTGTGTGTGTGTGTGTGTGTGTGTGTGTGTGTGAGTGTGTGTGTGTGTGTGTGTGTGTGTGTGTGTGTGTGTGCGCGCGCGCGCGCGCGCGCGTGTGTGTGTGTGTGTGTGTGTGTGTGTGTGTGTGTGTGTGTCAAGCGCCTTCTCCGCCTCCGGCCCGAGCAGGGAAGCCAGCGGGGCCCCGACAGCCGGAGCGAGCTTCCGCAACAGGCCGAACCCTGCGGTGTGAGTACGCCAACCTCAGGGCGGGAGATCTGGGGAGATATGGGGAGATGTGGGCAGCCTACGTGGTGGGTACGCCAACCTCAGGGCGGGAAGACGGCATTGTGCGGCGTACTCATACCACCGCAAGTGAAGACAACGGAGAGGGAAACACATGAATACAGTGTTATGCGGCGGAGAACAGCGGAGTACGTGTCCTCTCGAGTGCTAGATATGGGGGAGATATGGGGGAGATATGGGGGAGATATGGGGGAGATATGGGGAGGTGTGTCCTCTCGAGTGCTAGATATGGGGGAGATATGGGGGAGATATGGGGGAGAAATGGGGAGGTGTGTCCTCTCGAGTGCTAGATATGGGGGAGATATGGGGGAGATCTGGGGAGATATGGGGAGGTGTGTCCTCTCGAGTGCTAGTTATGGGGGAGATATGGGGGAGATATGGGGGAGATCTGGGGAGATATGGGGAGGTGTGTCCTCTCGAGTGCTAGAGATGGGGGAGATATGGGGGAGATATGGGGGAGATATGGGGAGGTGTGTCCTCTCGAGTGCTAGATATGGGGGAGATCTGGGGGAGATCTGGGGGAGATATGGGGAGGTGTGTCCTCTCGCGTGCTAGATATGGGGGAGATATGGGGGAGATATGGGGGAGATATGAGATATGGGGGAGATATGGGGAGGTGTGTCCTCTCGAGTGCTAGTTGGAAGACAAGAAGACGCAGTTCCGCTTCTAGGCGGCCGAGTCCCTCCCGCCGCAGCTCCGACGCGGGCGCGACAGCGGCGACTGCCTACGTGTGAGCGAACGGAGGCATGAGAGATTCGCGCGAAGACACAACCCCGGGACCCACGACGCACAAGCACAGACAGTCGAGAAGGGAGAGACAGCAGCGGCAGTCAGAGTCAGCGCTGGGTCCGAGGAAGGCGAATGCGAGGACGGCCGTTAGTGCGAGCTCTCTAGCTATTGAGCTCGTACGCTATCTGCCTCAATGTACAGTAGCGTACGAGATCTGCCTCAATGTATAGTAGCGTACTATAGTAGCGATCTGCCTATAGTAGCGTACTATAGTAGCGACATAGTACCGATCTGCCTATCGCTACTATAGTCGCGAGATCTGCCTATCGCTACTACGTCGGGTTAGGCATGGCCCGGACTGTGCCGACACCCCACGGCGGGCGCCTGCTCGAGCGGGCCGTTGAGCGGGCCGAGCGCGGGCACGAAGAGCTGCTCGAAGAGCGGGATCGCCTGCTCGCACCGCACACGCGTCAGCCAGGCGCCGCTCGCAGCTGTGCGTCCGCTCGGGCAGCTTCCGCACGTCGCTGACTGGCTTGTTGTTCCATGAGACGAGGACGGAGCCGGCGCACGCGTCGGCGTAGTCGGCGTACGTGCAGGCTAGAAGAGTTTGCATCAGCGCGCCGAGCGAGTGGCCCAGCGACACCAGCGGCAGCTCAGCCGACGACTCTGCGGCGAGCGCCGCCCGCGCGGCGTCAAGCTTCCGCTTGACATCGGCGGCAGGCTTGGTGTAGTCAAAGTCGACCGCGTACGGTGTGGCAACGACGAGGTAGCCGCGATCGGCCAGCTGCTCGAGCAGGTATCGGTACGCGACGTGCGGCGCCGGCGAGACAAACACTCCACCGAGAAAGTGCACGAGCGCTCTCGGCTCGCCAGGCGGTCGCAGCAGCTTGCAGCCGGCGCAGTCCTCCCACTCGGCCGCCGCGATGGGCGCCGCCGTACGGCGAAAAGCGCACGGAGGTGGGCCAAGCGCGGTCCAGCCGACGGCGAGACTCGAGCAAACCGCGAGCAGCATCTTCGCGGCAGTGTCCCTGGCGAGGCCCCGCCCACCCACGGTACCCTCTCCGAGGTCCCATTGGGTAATTCGAGGGCTCGCCGGGGCTCTGCTCCAAGAGACCTCGAGAGAGCGTGCGTGTGCCTCTACTCGCCAGGCAGTGTCCAAAAGAATTTTCCGTGCAAAAAGAATTCTTGCTCTCGGCCTCAAAAGAATTTATAAAGGTTTTTCTCCAGCGGGAATGTGTGACGGCTAGCGCAGCACACCCCTCTTCTTAAAATCCCTGTGTGGTGGCGGCGTGCCGTCCTCCCATCCCTCCCTAGGACTGTCTGTGTTCTCTCTTTTCTTTCTTTTAGCGGGAATGTGGGGAGGAAAGCTGCCGAACACGTGGGAGCCGATAGACGCGGAGATGTACGCGATACTCGCACACTTACGCAAAATGGCGAGCGCGAGCGACGCGCAATCGCGACGGTGCCTAGTACTATGGTCTATGCGTCCTGTTTGCAGAGAGAGGAGTCAAGGAAGGCCAAGAAATCACATGGTCATATGGGGACTCATACAAGAGCCACCGCAAGGAGATGGGATACAGGGCGGGGACGAGGGCGGATCCGAACGCAATAACACCCCAGCAAGCGCGGACGGCATTCGCGAGATACTGCAAAAAGATAGACGTGACGAAGGAGGAGCTAGCGTGGAACTTTGGATGCATATCGGCAAGCCAAGATAACGAGCAGGAGGCTGTCCTGGTGCGCGAGCTAATCCTGAACAACAATAAGCGACTGTACCACGGAGCACAGAGCGCAGCAGACAGGACGGCGGCGACGGCGAACATGGCAGAGACGAGTGTGAAACAAAGGGCGGCGGGCATGGAGGGCGGTAGCGACGGGGATGGTGACGGTGACGGTGGCGAGGGAGAGGAAGGGGGTCCATTAGCACCAGACAGCGAGAGGGGCAGGGAGGAAAGGGGGAGAGAGGAAGCCAACGGCGATGCCACCAGCAGCAAGGGACACGATGAACAGGTAGACAACGGCCAAGGCGAGGGCGAGGACGAGGAGACACGGGACGACGGCAGGCGAGACGAGGAGGACGGAGGCGAGGGCAGAGACAGCGCCGCAGTCGACGGAGGCGACAACGATGGAGAAGGGGAGGGAACGAAAACGCGCACAGAGGATGAGGATATAAACTGGGACGACGCAGCGGAGGGGATAGACGAGGGAATCGAGGGACCGGAGGGCTTTCGCGACAGCGACGATGACGACGAAGGCAGGGGAGGAGACGGAGGGGCGACACGCAGGGGGAGCAAAATCGCGAACGGCCCGAGGCAGCAGAGAGGGCGACGGCGGAGCACGAGGGAGCAACGGAAACGCTACCAATGACGCGAACCGAGGCACGGGCGACGACGGGGACGGGGAGGGCGACAGCGACGTCGAGGTTGACGCAACGGTATCGAGAGCGCCACCCAAAAGGACGCGGACAGCCATGGAGGTCACCGAACGGAGGGCGAACGGCACGATACGAAAAGGCAGGGCGAGGCGGATGGAGAAAGAAGTACCGAGGAGGCCATGGTGGAGGGGAGGGACGGGAGGACGAAAGAAGGGCGAGGAGGACGAGCGGCCCGCACAGGCCGCGAGCAGACAGCGCCTGCTGGCCATCTCGAGACATTCGCGAAGAACGCTAGCTACATGGGAGGGCTTCGTGAAGGATGGATTGAAAAACATTCGAACAAAGAAGAGGCGACGGGAGGAACCGGCAGAGGATGCAGTGACGTGAGACACACACACACACACACACACACACACACACACACACACACACACACACACACACACACACACACACACACACACACACACACACACACACACACACACACACACACACACACACACAAAACACACACACACACACACACACACACACACACACACACACACACACACACACACACACACACACACACCTCACCCACGCGCACCGGGCCTTGCACTTTGAATGCCGTGGGGCTCCTGTCGTTAGACGTGGAGACGCGAGGGTTGCCCCCCCTTGCCCCACCACCTCGTGTGTGTGGAGAAGTTTACCTTACCTTACCTTACCTATGCGACTGCAAGCCTCCGGTAAATTCTAGGGTAAATTACGGCCTGCGCTGCAGCAGATTGAGAATGCGACCGCAAAGGGATGCATGTACACATGCATATACATCCTGTAATAATATACATAATATACACGTACATGACCTTATCGCCCGTGTTCTACTACACTACCTACAGTCCTACGGGCCCCTAGCCATACAGTGTACCCTACACGTGCACGTCCGCGGGCACCTCGCCGCGCGCACCTCGCCGCTGCGCGCACCTCGCCGCGCGAGTGTTGTCGTCCCTCTCTTGTCGACCCGACACTGCCCGCGGCCCTTTCGGTCAGCCGCAGCAAGCTCACGCGCACCCTACACATCGGACTCACACACCGCACATGCGTGCGCACGGCGGCCATGCCCTGCGGACAGTACCCGTCCCGCGTCGTTCGCCTCACCCCCACAGCGCGCCTCTCTTGAGCAGCGCGGGTCTCGCCGCACCACGGTCGCGGATTCGAGCCCGTCAGGGGCAGACCGCTGGGAAATCAGGGGCAGTGGAACTCAGAAACCTCCCCTATCTCTGTGCCATGGCAGCATGCCGCTCCGCCGCAGTCTGTCCCGTAGTCGCCGCCGGAGTGCCGGCAGCGGCAGGAGCAGCCCAAGCCGTCTTGTTCGGGGTTGCACGCCTGGCCGGGCGAGAACCAGTCGGTGGCGCCCTTTGCGTGGTGAGGGCCCACCACCCAGGCGCCGTCGTCGCAGTAGTCGCCACACTGACACCCGCTGCAATCCACGTTCGTCCCGTCCCACGAACTGCCCAGCTGCGCCGGCCCAAACTGCTGCGTGGAAACGATCACCGCGCACATCGCGACAAGGCGAAGCGGCGGCATATATGTGTGTATGTGTGTAGCTGTACCCGGGTACATGGCACAGAGATCTCCCGGAATGAGAATTTTACGTCAATGAGGTTCTCGAGGTTCTCGAGGTGGATATCCTTTGGCCGCGTTGGGTAGCGAGGATTGGTGTAACCCGAGCCACGGAGGCGTGTTTTCTGACGGCCGACCGTCAGTGCACGGAGTTGCCCCTTCTCCGACTGCCCCGGCTAGTTCCCGAGGTCGTCGGGTGTGACCCCTTCGTCCCCCGAGACCTAGCGCGGGTGGGTTGGAGGGGCCTCGGAAAGGCGCGCAAGCACGCCCTACGTCTTCCCCTCCTCCCCATCGGGCCGCATGAGCGGCCACGCCTCGCAGATTCGTTTCCGCGCCTGGGTCAGGCGCGCGGGGCATCCCCCGGGTCGCTCGACCAGCGATCCGAAGAGTGGCCGCTATGCGAAGGAAAGAGTGGGGCCCTCGACGCCTCAGTCCGGCCCTCCGAGGGGGGAAGGGAATTGCGGGGTCCCCTCGGGCGCCTCAGTTCGGCCCTCCCGAGGGGGGGAGGGGAGCAAGGGGGTGGGGGGATCGGGGCGGTGGGGAGGGGTCTCGGTTTCATGTGGCTAAGACTTGCCTTTCGGGGAGGGGCCTCCGTTGGAAGGCGCGCATGCAGCCCTACGTCTTCCCCTCCTCCCCAGAGGCAGCGAGTAGGCAGCGAGAGGAGGTCTCGAGCGCCTATATGAAGGTATGTGAGATGGTGATGGGAATGGGTGGTCGGGCGGGCGGGCGGCGGGCGGGCGGGCGGGCGGGCGGGCGGGCGGGCAAGCGGGGAGAGGCGGGCGGGCGGGGCGGAGCGGGCGGGCGGGGTGATCGGGGGAATCGTGTCCACAATCGGCAGCGGCGGAGCAGCAGCAGCAGCAGCTGCTGCTGTAGAAGCAGGCAGCAGCCTGCCGCAGATTCCTGCCGTTGTCTGCGCCGCGATCCGCCGCCGCGCCGCCGCGCCGCCGCCGCCTGCGCTCGCCGCCGCCTCGTAGACGACTCCTCTCGCGCTCGGAGAGCCGCGCAGCGGGCCGCGAGGTTGTGGTCAAAGTGTGCAGCAAAGTGGCGGTCACGAAATCATCAAAATTTGAGGTTGCTCGAGAGAGCCTCAATGTCAATGAGGGGGGGTTGTCGGCGACTCGTGTGGCTCGCCCCCCTCTCTGTCTCTTCAGTCATAAAGCCGTACCGACCGAGTCGTGTTTGAAGGGGGCCGGGGGTTAACGATGTCCACAGGCCAGCTGAATAGAGGTGTGTGTGCGCCTTGGACATGTACGTACTCGCCGCACTTGTGTCTCTTGTGACTGGGTGCAGTGCGGAGTGCGCGTGGCGTGATGTAAGGGAGACTCTGTAATGAAATTCGGTCGCGCATCCGGGAATCAAGTTGGTGCCGGTATGATTAGTAGGACCGTCTGCGCAGCGCTCTCGGTGCCTGGTTACTGATATAACGCGGCTTGTGTCGGCCTGAAATACATCGCGCATTACGATCCGAATAGGGACGACTGTGCGCATCGAATGTCTCTACTGTGCACATTGTAGAAAATGAAGCTTAGGTGTCGGTAGAGCCAATGGTCCGCGCCTTGGGCTTGGCCGCGACACCGACCACATCCCCACCGCGCAACCCGAACGGCGACGGCGTGGCGCTGTCGCCACGCACAGAGACGCTCTGAGAGGAGAGGGAGAAGGAGGGCGAGGAGGGCGAGGTCGACGGCGGCGGCGAGACCGGCGGCGTTGGCGGCGCCAGCCGCGTCGGCTTCTCTGCCCGGCCCGGAGGAGGAGGAGAGCCTCGAGGCGCAGAGGGCGGCGCGAGGGGCGGCGCGAGGGGCGGCGCGGTGAGGGCGACGCGCCGCCAGCGGTAGAACGCGTCGCTGGCGGCGCCCAGCAGCACCGCCAGCTCGTCGGACTGCATCAGCCGACGGACGATTCGGACGGCGTGCTCGCCTGTTCACACCCGACGGCGTGAAGAGGAGGCCGCGAGCGGGCGTCGAGGGAGAGGGCGCGCGCGTGCCGCTCGGCGGCGGTCGGCGCGGCGGCGGCGTCACCTGCGCCGCCCCCGTCTCGTTGTTGACGTAGAGGAAGCCGCCACCGGACGCAGCAGGCGTCGCAACTCGAGTCCATCCGCTGTTTCGCGGCTCGTCGAACTCGAGGGCAGAAGGGGGGGCGGCGGCAGAAGCGGCGGCGGCGGAGTGCGGGAGCGAAGCATCGGCACCCGAGGCGGGCTTCAGCGGCCCGCCTCCGCCACCGACGCACCCTTCCGAGGCGTCGCCTTCTCGGAACCGTCTCGGAACCGTCTCGGAGCCTTCCTCTGCAGACGCGTCGCCATTCGGGCCGCACGCCTGAGGAAGATATGGGGAGATGTGGGGGAGATATGGGGAGACATGGTATGAGCTCCGTGTGCCGCATCCAGGCCTCGAGATGTGGGGAGATATGGGGGAGATGTGGCGGAGATATGAGGAGATATGGGGAGATCTGAGGTCCGTGTGCCGCATCCAAGCCTCGAGATATGGGGAGATATTGGGGGGAGATGAGGCTGCGCCGCGCCCACGAGCCGACGACGTCGACAGAGATCTTTGCCTGGCTGCTGTGCACGCGCCTGCGTGGTGTCATACGACTGTCATACGCCAGCTCAGGGCAGGAGCACGGTCTTGTGCAGAGCATTCAAGAGCACCGTGTGGAGCACGAGGGGTACTGTTGCAGCGCACGCATCGGAGTACGCGGCCGCTTGGGCGCGGTACGCAAGACTACGCGGCCTCAGCTTCTAGGATGCCACGCGCCGGCCGCGCGGCTCCTGCAGCGCAATCTCGGGTGATCTCGGGCGATCTCGGGGTGATCTCGGGTATTTTAGGATCACGCGCCGGTCGCGCGACTCCTGCAGCGCAGCGTGCGGCGACGGTGCGCCGACGGCCGCTGCCAGACGCCCCTGCGCGGCGGCGCGGAGGTGAAGCGGCGGCGCCACGTCCGACGGCTCCTCGCCGTGCCCCCGAACGCGGCCATCCTGCTTACGGCGCGAGGTGTGAACGGCGCCTCTTCACAGCGAGCGCGGCGCCCCTTGACCGGCCGCGCCTGTCTGACTGGCCCCGCTGTCGCAGCGGCCGCCGCAAAACACCCCAACGAGTCGGCGGTGCCACGCCCCCCTTCTGCTCCTCCGCCAGCGCCTCCCGCCTGCCCCGCCCCTCCCCCGCACCGCGCCACCTCCTCCTCCACCCGGTGCAGCGACGTCGCACCCCCCTCCTCCGCCTCAGCCGCGCCTCCTACGCCGTCCTTCCGGAAACGTCCGCGACATGTCCACGACGCGCCCTCGCAAGACGGCGCTTCCCGAGGAGCACCGCCGCCCTCCGCCCGGCCAGCCGCCCCTCCCGCGCGCGCAGCTTCGCCGTAGACCCTCGCCGCCGCGGCAGCGACGATCGCGCCGCACCCACCGGTGTCGTGTGGAGGATGGTGTGCCCGCCCTCCCAACGAGTGGAGCTGTCCGACAAGCCTCTCCTCCCGCGCCGCCGCGTCCGCCAGGGACCGCCGGTGCTCGAGGACCTCCTCTCGCAGCGTCGCAACCTATGGGGGAGATATGGGGGAGATATGGGCGAGATGTTGGGGAGAGCCCTCCTCTCGCAGCGTCGCAACCTATGGGGGAGATATGGGGGAGATATGGGCGAGATGTGGGGAGATACGGGGAGATATGCGGAGATCTGGAGAGATGTGGGGAGATGTGGGGAGATATGGGGAGGGCCTTCTCTCGCAGCGTCGCAACCTCGCCCGCAGTGTCGGCCACCAGGCGCATCTCCGCGACGGCGGACGAGGCGGCGGCGGCCGCTGCAGCGGCGCCTCGCTCCACTGATGCTAGTTCTGCGGCGAGCGCCATCGCCACCACGCGCTCCTCGCACGCCGCCGCCGACAGAGCGCGAACCGCCTCCATCGCCGCCGCCGCCTCCGCCCGCGCCGCCGCCGCCTCGGCCGCCGCTGCAGCCCGCTCGCCCTGGCACGCGTCGCGCGCGGCCTACTCTCGCGCAATCTCGCGCAATCTCGCGCAATCTCGCGTGATCCCGGGCGATCTCGCGCGATCTCGCGCGATCTCGCGCGATCTCGCGCGATCTCAGGCGATCTCGCGCGCGCCTCTGCGGCTCGACACCGCGCAGCCTCCGCCCGCGCCGCCGCCTCGAGCCTCTCGCCCTCCTCCCTCGCAGCACGCGCCTCTTGCCGCGCCAGCCGCGCATCCTGCCGCGCCTCCGCCAGCCGCGCCTCCGCCGCAGCCTCGATCTCCGCCTCCGCCCTGCGCCGCTCAGACTGAAGCTCGACCCGCTGCCGCGCTAGTCGCTCGCGCATGGCGCTGGCGCCGAACGCTTCCCGCTCCGCCGCCGCCGCCGCCTCCGCTGCCGCCGCCGCCTCCGCCGCCGCCTCCGCCTCCGCCGCCCCCGCCGCCTCCGCCGCCCTCTCCGCCGCTTCCGCCGCCTCCGCCTCTCGCTCCGCCACCTTCGCCGCCGCCGCGGAGGCGCGGGCCATGTCCTGGCTGTGGGGTGGACTCGTCCCGGACACGTCCGTCCCCCGTGACCGGCCCGTTGCCGCCGTGTCGTAGCAGGAAGAGAGCGTGCGGCTGGCATGCGGCGGAGTCGTCGGCGGCGGCGGAGTCGGCGGCAGCGGCGACGGGGCAGAAATGGCCGTGAGGGGAGTCGCGGCGTCTTGGCCACAGTGCAACGTCGCCGTCGCCGCCGCTGCCGCCGTCGCCGCCGCTGCCGCCGCTGCCGCTGCTGCCGCCGCCTCGACACGTTCCGCCTCCGCCTTCGCCCTCTGCGCCGCCTCAGCCGCCGCCGCCGCCTCCTCCGCCTCCCGCCGCGCCGCCGCCTCCGCCGCCGCCTCCGCCGCCTCCGCCTCCGCCGCCTCCGCCTCCCTCTCCGCCGCCGTCACCGCGTCCGCCGCCCTCCCCTCTACCGCCAACGCCACCGCAGCCTCCATCGCCGCCTCCACCCTTGACGCCACCGCCCTGGCCGCCTCCCGCCGCGCCGTCAGCACCGAGAGCGCACACGCGAGCACGGCCTCCTCCTCCTCCTCCTCCTCCTCCTCCTCCTCCTCCTCCTCCTCCACAGCTGTTGACGCCTGTGCAGCGCTGGAGCCCGGACTGTACCGCCACGTCCCGCCGCCTGCCCCTCCCTGGCATGCGGGCTCCAACGTCGCCGAAGCCACAGCTGCTTGGCAATGTCCGGGTGCCGCCGCACGCCCCGCGGCCGCATGCACGTGACTGCAAAACGCCGGCGGCGGCAGAGGAGCTTCTTCCGAATGCGCGTGTGTCGCTGCGGATGCTGTTGCCTCGTGGCATTGTCCAGCGAATGGTGCATGCCCAGCGAATGTCGCACGCCCAGCGACCGTCGCATGGCCCGGGAATGCTGCATGTCCAAGCGGTGTCTGTCCAGGCACCGCCAGCTCGCCTCCTCGCGCGTCCTGCGGCGGCGCGCAGCCTCTCGCGCCTTTTGGCGGCGTACAGACACGCCCTCGTGGCGCGGCCAGCGAGGTCAGCGCCGCCTCCGCCTCCGCCATGCCCTCCTCCGCCTGTTCACAGCTGGAGCCGTGATACGAGGCGCTTGCTCCCAGCCATCGACGCCGTGCCCTCCCCCGCCTCCGCCAGCAGCGAGCGGCAGCCGCCCGAGCGTCGCTGCGAGCACACGCTCGCCTCCGCCTGCGGCGGCTGCAGCGGCGGCTGCAGCGGCGGCTGCAGCGGCGGCTGCAGCGGCGTCCTCAGCGGTGCGTGGCTCTGCATTAGCTCGGCGGAGAGGAGAACGTGCGCGTCCGCGCACCTAAGGCAAGGAGGGGCAGGCGAATCGGGTAAGGATGCGATCGGGCAGTGCGCTTAGAGCGTCGCACGAATGTGCAAGCTCCGATACAACTCCTCCGCGCACCGCATCAGCGGGCAGTTGAAGACTGCGACACCCCACCGTATCGCGTTCCCGTTGTCCACTGCAAAGGGAAACTGCTCGCCGCCGCAAGCGGTGCGCCTGGCGGGGCACGGGGGATGACAGTGGCGGCAGGAGAGCAGAGAGGGCCGCCTCGGAAGTGTCGGGATTGCCTCTGCTCTGCGGCGTGGACGACGAGCTCGTGGACGGGCTCGCCCCGCTGGAAGGCGCCGGAGGCGACGTAGTGCGCTCGCACCACGTCCTGGCCGGGCGCCAGCCCCAGACCGACCACAGGCCACTCACCGCAGGAGGCGAGCACGACAGGGTCGGCGCCGGCGGCGAGCCGCCGGAGCACGATGCGGAGCACGCAGCAGCAGCACGAGCTTGGCACGTCGACGTAGCGGCGCGCCTGCTCTCCTGGGCGCACGGCGAGCACGGCCGGCTCGGATAAACGGAGCTCGAGCATCGCGGCGCGAGCGGGAAGGGGAGGAAGCGAGCGTTACCTGTACTACCCTCGCAAAAGAATTCAAGGAGGTTTTCAACGAGCGAACTCTCTCGCACAGCACACAGGTTCGACACAGGTACCAAAAGAGGCACAGCCTGCGACGGACCTTTAGAAGGCGCCGTCGTCCTCATGGAGGTGGGCACGATCGGGGGGACAGTCGAATCCGCGAGCACCGTAGTGCTCGCCGAAAAGACCATCCCCATCATCCCAACCACCCCCGGCGACCCCCTCGCCGCTTGCCCCGCCAGCGGGCACTGCGCGACCCACCCCCGCGCCCTCGACCGCGCCCCCCGCCAGGAGCATATCGCATCACCACCGCCCGATCCTCGTCGAAGAGCAGATCTTTCCCGCCTTCACCAGCTCCTTCCACCCCTCCGTGTCCTGCAACGTCGTGGCGCCAGCCCATAGCTCCGGCCCTCCGTCGCAACATCCCGGCCCCTGTTCCGGCATAGCGTCCAAAGCCGCCCTAAACCTAGGGCAGCGCGCCGCGTCCCATGCCGCCTTCTCAGCCGCCTGGATAGCCGCCCACTGGGCAACCGAGTAGTGGGAGGGGCGAGATTGGCGAGCAGTGGGAGGGCCGTCCGGCTCGGCGCCGCGCGCCGCGCCCGAAACCGCCCCCGCTGCCTCCTCCTCGACCTCCTCGTCGGTTGCCGTGCCCACCGCATGCTCCTGGGACCTCGCAAAAGAAGAATGAGTCCAGACTCCGACCCCCGCCGCAACGTCCGGAGACTGCGGTGTGGGTTCGTGGCCGGGTGTGGACGGTACGCGGGTACAACCAGGAACAGGCAGCGGGCAAAGGCAGCTGCCCTTCCCCTCCTCCGCCGGCGGCGCGGATTCCGAAGTGTCAACAGACACAGCGGGTCCAACACCGCCAGCAACAACTGCGGCCCGCGCCTCGCGGGCGCCGCTCTCCGCCTCTGGGGTGCGTGCGCCGCTGCAGCCCTAACGAAAAGAATTCAACGAAAAGAACTCTCTCTCACAGCACACAGGTTCGACACAGGTACGCCACAAACGAAAAGAACTCTCTCTCACAGCACACAGGTTCGACACACGTACGCCACGGTACCAAAAGAGGCACAGTCGCGGGGGTGCCTACACGAAGGCGTCGAGGTGGGCGAAGGGGGGAGGGCGGCAATCGCCCTCACCCTTACGACGCCCACCCCGGCACTCCCTGTCAACCCACACCTCCTTCTCAAGCGCAATCGCCCTGCGCTCCGCCTCCGCGGCACGCTTGCCCGCCTTCTTCGCCCCGAGGGGCGTGGCCGTGGCAAAAGAATTTTACGATGAAACTCTCTCGCACTTTATAATCAAGGCTCGAGGCTATTCACACGTCAGGGCCCTGTGATGACATGTCCTCACCTACTTATTAATTAATCAAGGCCCTCGCCTAACCGTCGATTGCTCGAGGCTATTCACACGCCAGTCGCGTGGAGTAATCTCGAGCTCGGGTAGCCTCAGGGTCAGGCTATCTTGCTTCTTGGGCAATCCCGAGTGATCTCGGGAAAACTGGGGAATCTCAAGTAATCTCGAGTAATCTCGAGCCGCCTCGGGTAATCTCGGGTAATCTCGGGTGATCTCGGAACGTCTCGGGCAATCTCCGGTAATCTCGGGTGATCTCGGATCGTCTCGGGCAATCTCCGGTAATCTCGGGTGATCTTGGGTCGTCTCCGGGTCACTTGGGGCTACGGCCCTCACTCCGAAATAGGTGCGACGCAGTGCTGAGCACGGTACGTGGCGATGCGAGGCAGCGGCGTGTGGCGCGGCGGCGCGGCGCGGCGGCGGGCGACGCAGGGTGGGGCGGCGCGACCGCCTGCACTGACCGGGTCTCTGGCCATTGGAGCAGGGCAGTGGTCGCGTCGCCCATGTCCGGACCAACACCCCGACCGGCGAAGACGGGATATACTCCGTGCCGGCGGCCCCGTCGGCGGCGGCGTCGATCGGATCGTGTCGCGCCGGCGGGGGTGGTGACCGAGCGGGCAGTGGCTCCGCTGGCCGGCGCGGGGTCGCGCCAGCGGGGAACAGGTAAGTAAGGCGGCATCGACGCTGAACGGTCACGAAACTCACCCCACCACACTGAAAGACCACCGGCCAGTTGACGACACACTCTCAGACGCCCGCCGATGAAGCCGGGAGGATGTATGGAGGAATGGTAATGACCTCTCCGGATTGGTTGAGCCCCGGCATCGACGGTGGGAAGAGGGAGGATCCCCGCCCCTATCCCTCAGTTTAATCCCCGAGAGGAGAGGCAGAGCCTCTGGCGCGGTGAGACCACCCGTACGCTCTCAAGGCCGACCCCCCACTCTCCAGAGTTCAGGTCACGACCCCCTCGGAGGGGGCCGGACGAGGCGTACCCCGAGGGCCCCGCTCTTTCCCGGCAGCGGCGCGCGCGCGCACACACAAAGACGCTGCCCCCTCACACCCCGCACCGCACATCACACACCCCTCGTGGCCGTTCTTCAGTCTGCGGCCAGGGCGCGCTGCACCGGGTCAACCTGGCTGCGGCCGTCGCAACGCGGGGCTCACCGCGGGGCAGCGCGCCGACGACGTCGAATGTGCCGCCGTGGCATCGCGGCGCCGACGACCAGGCTCAGAGGATGACCCCGGGTAAGCGTTCCCGTGCCTCGACAATTGCCGCTGGTAGGCGCGCCGCGCCAAGCCATGGCGGGCGCGCCGCGGCCGCGCACCCTTCGTCACAATGCCAACCGCGCGCGGCCGTCGACCGGCAAGCACACGCCTCGACTCGGACACACTGCTCCGAGGGCAAGGGAGAGGGGCTGGCTCCTAGCCCGAGAGGGGAGCTTCCGAGACCCAATACAAGACCTCGCACGCATCATCCCGCGGCCTGGCGGTCGGCGGGATTGCAATCAGTCTTCGCGTGCCGCCTGTCGTTCGCTCGGGCGCCTTGGGCGTCGGGGTGGCGAGCAGGGGACGCGGCTCTGAGCGCCCAGCCGAGCGACGCGTGCCGGATGGAGTCCGGCCGCGGGTGACTAGGGAAGTTCGCTCAGGATGTGTGGCAGTCAGTTTGGCTGAGTGTCTTGTCTTGTGGTTCTGTGTGTCGCTCCTGTGTGACCGTCATCGCCCGTCCTGCGTCCACCCATACCGCGTTGGTGTCCCAGTCGTTGGTCGGACTGTGTTTCGCCTTCCCATCAATCAATCAAGCACGACACCGGGTACGGGACTGGCACTACAAAGGACACAGCAGACGGCCCCCTCAGGGGCCATCGAAAACTCGGACTAGGCTACGGCACTGGGCCAGGCTTGCGGCGAGAGCTCATCCCCGATCCCAGCACGATCCTTCGCCATCCGTCGATGTCGGAGTCGGCCCGACCGGCAGAGCTGCTCGGGGTACCCGGAGAGTTGGTTTCGCGAGAGTCCTCGTGGTGTCCGCACGATTCGCGGCGGGACCCCTTGGGTGGAACCCGGAACCTGACGCGGGGCTCGCCAGCCCCCCTGGGCGCGCCAGAAAGGGGCGCAAGCACACTTGTCTTCCCCGCGATCCCCCAGGCGGCGTTCTGCCGCTTTTGCAGCATGCCGTTGACTGGGCTCTCCGTGAGCGTGCTCAAGCGGAGGCGAGCCTCAGAGAATCTGTGCTCGACTCCCTCGGCGAAGCGCGCCGACCAACGAGCCGGGATGCCGGCGGAGCTATCACTCGCTGCACTCTGGAGCGACTGTTCACTATCCCCCCGCTCAAGGCTCGCTGGCAAGGGCTGAGGCCCCGCGGCAGGGGAGGGGACCGTGGGCCTTGCGTGGAGAAGCTTGATGATCGCGGCGGTGAGGTAGAGCCAGTGCGCGGCCAGCATCGCCCAGGCTATCAGCGCGAGGTGCCATCCAATGCAGTCGTGGAGCTGCAGGTTCCAGAGCACCTCCCACTCCCAGACAACCTCGACGACGAGAACGGCTGTCGTGCAGAGCAATGCGTCAACGTACTTGAGGAGGACGGTCCAGTGCTGGACGACGAGGGGCAGCGTGCAGGTGAGCATGTTGCGGTCGAGGAGCTCCCGCCCTGTCACGAGGCTGACTACCAGCAGCGAGGTCGCCGAGTGGTGGATGAGCGTGCCTAGAAAATTGCACGCGTGCTCGAGACGCGCGAGCCAGGGATCGTTGCGCTTGCGTGCCAGCTTGTAGAAGGCGATCGTCTCGGGCGAACCGCACTTCCACAGGCCGAGGACGAGGAACAGCAGTCCCCAGTAGCTCCGGCTCGCGATGGCAATGTTCAGGAACAGTGGAAAGGCAAGCTGGGCGCCCTGCCAGAACTGCTTGAGCCGCTTGACCGACAGGACCTCGACGAGTATGTGGCCCACGATCAGCTCACTGCCAAGACCGAGGGGGGGGGGGGGGGGCGAGGGCTGCGGTGGCGAGGGTGGTGGCGGGCTCGGAGAGGCGGCGGTGAGGGACGGGCGGTGGCGAGGGACGGGCGGCGGCGAGGACTGGGCGGCCCCTCGCCTGCCAAGACCGAGGATGAGTACGCTCACCCACGTGCAGTACGTCAACAGCCACGCAAAGGCCTCGTCGCTGATGTATTCCAGCGGAGGCATGACGGCGCTCTCGTGGGACTCCCGCCACTCGTCGAAGAAGGGGCGGTGCGGCGTCTGCCGGTACGAGTTGGGATAGTCGCAGACCGAAGGGCTCGGAGGGCGCGTATCGAGGGGAGCAGCAGCCACGAGGGGCAGCCACGATGGGACTGGCATGACGCCACGACAGCGGGCAAAGGGGAGGGGCACTGAGAACGCCGTGTTCTGTGAGGTCCAACCGGCTCACACGGCATTTTTTTTTCAGAGACGAAGTGAGGGATTGGTGTCCAGTCCGAGCCTGGCTGTTCTTCACCTTTCTACCTACCTACCTACCTGAGGGACAGGGAAGTTGCGTGCGCTGTGCGAGCCGCCCTGAATGAACGACCACAAACAATGGTGAGCGCGCCCGAGCACCGGCGTCGCGAGCGCCGGCGAGCACCGCCGCCCCGCGCCTTGGCGTGGATCGGTAGTACATGATGCGGCGCCAGCATGCTCTATCATGCGTCGCCCCGCAGCCCGCAGTGGCCAAAAAAGAAAGAAAGAAAACGGACAACCCAAGGGAGGTATGGGAGGACGGCACGCCGCCACCACACAGGGACTTTAAGGAGAGGGGTGTGGTGCGCTAGCCGTCGCCCACCCTTGGGCGTCCGCCTCTTCCTTTCTCTCTTCAGACACGTCCAGGACGCGTCCAGGACAGGTCCGAGACATGCCTACAGGCGTGGCTCGACGAGCATTTCGACGATGACGACATCGACG